ATTATTATTATTATTATTATTATTATTATTTTATTTATTTTTATTTTTTTGTAAGGTTTCACACAGTTATATTTATTTTAGTTTTGTATTTGTGTGGGCTCTACCACAATGGGCAATTCTCATTTCACTGATCATTTCATTGGTCATGGTCAATGAAAATGGCTCTTTTTATGACATTTGAGTTTTCCTGGCTTTGGCCTTTGGCATTGTCTTATATAGTTAAAGCTATAAACTATAAACTATATAAACCAAGAAAATATATCTAGAAAATATATATTCTAGATATACCACAATGTCTCAAATTGCTGTCCCTTTCCCTGAAAGGGACTGACTAATATGTTAAGCAGATACAATAGTGAATCCTCATAAAGAACTAGCAGAGGAATTAAATAAAAGACCCCTTTGGGATCCATTTCAAGAGGTTATTTATCACTTCCTGGAATAAATTGAGAGCTAATTGTATTGGGACTTAGTAGAGTGCTCATAATAATTCAGACAATTAAATTCTGTAAGGGGGTTCAAAATAGATTGCTGTCGTTTTTAGTATACAGTGGTTGACTATTAGTCATGTGACTATTGAGCAAGCTTTAAACATTGCTATAATAAATATGCTGTATTTTTGGTGTTTTTACCAGATTGTGAACTTTTAGCAAATTGTAACTTGTGCTGTTATACAGTGGTCCCTTTTTTTTTTACCAAATGCATGCAGTTCAAATTTCTTTATTTCTTTCTCTCTTTCTTTCGTTTACTTTTTGACTTATTGCAGTTTTTTAAACCACACAAAACATTGGTATAATTGTGGTGAAATTATTTTTGCTTTCACTCACATTAAATGATGTTATGGTTACATACTAGTGAATATGCAGACTTGTTTTGATTAGTTACATGGAGAAAACTGTGGTAATTAATTTGCTCTGAATAAATGGCAGCTCAAATGCAAATGCTGGATTTCACTGTTTGCTCAGAGCTTGTAGTTTTGTTGCATAGGAATCTAATATGATTTTTAGAGTGCCACAATCATCAGACTTATTAATGAACTCTGCAGGGGTCCAGGATGATGATGATGTGGAAACAATGCTGCAGGGGTCCTCTATGACGAAGGTACGTTCTCCACGCTGGAAGAGGAAGCGCATGCTAAAGCTGATGAATGACGGAGTCACTGTCTGGTGTGAATCCAACAAGGCCACCAACAAAGCCAAAAGTCAGCAGTCCTGTGAGTTGTCATACTTAGATATAGTGTGTTTATTTATTAGAAGAATTTCTGAGTAGTTTCCAGAGTGTGATAGTTAAAAATAAGGTTTTTATGAAGCAGTAGGTGTGTAGATGATAAGTGATGCTCTGTATTCTGTGCTCTGGAACTGTAAGAGCCCCTCCTGGTAAATACACCTCCTATTTATGGCTGTCTAAACAGGCTTCAGGTCTACTGGCCGCAGCACCGACGGTCATTACAGGGCTGATCTATTTGTAGTTCAGATGGGGGGTTTCTCTAAGCTTCACTGTACACTCTAATTACAGTCTGTGACTGGGTGGGAAGAGAGCAGCCCTTCACTTTATTATTTGCTCCATATAGTTAACATGAATTTATTATAATTGCCCTGGCAACTGTGCCCATGGCTTAAATTAGAATTTTGCTGTATAATTGATCTTAGTTAGAAAGATCATGTTTTGTGATGTGGCTGAGACATGTGTGTGAACACCCACTATTTTGAAGAATGTTGGTAACCAAACAGTTGCCGGTAGCCATTGACTTCCATAGTATTTTTTTAAATTTTTTTCCCCCAGGTTTAGAACAAACTTGAGGGTGAATAAATGATGACAGAATTTTCATTTTTGGATTAACTATTTTTTCCCTGGGGTTTAGGAGCGTACAGTGTGAAACATCAGTTTATGAATATTATGAATGATTTAATAAAGCTAAAGTCTGATGTTGGTCTGTTGAAATCCACCTCTCAAACTCAGATGAACAGACAACACCTCTCAGACTCAGATGAACAGACAATAGTGTATACCCATTTTACGAAAGTCTTTCGTCAACTTTTAGCTCA